TTAATGGTAGATTCATTCCTGAACCTCTGGGCTATTGGAGCCAATAAATTCTATTTCTGTTTAAGCTAGTTAGTCTGAGTTGAGTTTCTATTTCTTACAACTGAGAGTCCCAACCAATTCACAGATCTATAATAGCATATACTGGTAAATAAAAGTTTATTTTTTGACAGGAGAAATTCTCAATATGTCAAATTTTCTAGTCATTTTATCCTTTAAAAAAAATATACCTTCCTGATGCCAAATTGTGCTTATGTTACTTCTATTTTTTACTCTGGCCTGTCTGAAAATAAACTCTGAGGATTAGGTTAACATTACCTTATTGCTGCACTACTTTATGAAAAGCCTACTTTGTGTAAATAGGCAACAGCCTGTTGAGGATTGTTCAGTGCTGGGGAACTTGAAGTATGGGAATCAAGCTGCCTCAAAATCAAAATTTTGCCTAGTTTTTCTTGTTGATTTGAATTTACCTTAATAAAAGCATGCAAACAATTCAATAAAATTCTTAATTAAACAAAAATTATTCACCTGACTGACAGGATTGGGAATGTTGATTTACAGGGGCTTATTAATAATTAAAGATAAATTTCTCTAATTCTTGACCTGAAATTCAATGGATGCAGCACAAAGAAATTAAATGGTTCAGTTATCATGAGAGCTGATTTTGGATGACACTTTTTAATAGAAATGTATTTAAAGGAACCCTGGTAAATGGGTTCTGTACTAGAAAAGAGTATTAGTGCTCAAAGTGATCTTGGCAGTTTAATGTTTCAAAGGGAGCAATTAGATAAAGTTTCTAATGATTTGTATTTTTGAAGGATATCCTACTTTATATATGCTTCTATTTTAAAGATATAATAAAATATAAAGAAAGATCAGACACAATAAAGAATTTAAAAAAAGAAGGAAAAAAAAAAGACTAAACATAACACAAAGTGACAGATCAAAAATTGCCAGGGGACAAATAATAGAATTCCTCTGATAGTTCAGTTTGGGAAGCCAACATTTAAACTATAAACACACCCCTTTAAATGGTTACTGACAGTGTTTCTGACTTTACATCAGTTACTGGAGGTTGGCTTTTAAAATCTGCTTATTTGCCCTTTAACTCCTTGATTGTTTATGCAAGTCATATATACTGGTGAATGAGAAAGAAAGACTGGCCCTGATAAAAACTTTATCTAATTGCTCCCTTTGAAACATTAAACTGCCAAGATCACTTTGAGCACTAACACTCTTCTCTAATTAATAATTTTGCTTACAGAAGTAAAGGTGTTTTAGGAAGAACAATATGGAAAGGAAGGAACTGGAAAAATCAAGAAAATACTTACAATTCACTCAGAATACATAAAAAATGACATTCAAAAGGCCAGAAAGCAGATGGTAACTTAAGAATATAGTAGTTGTATTAATGCGGATGTGTTGAAGTGATACACTTCATGGTTAGAAACTTATCAAAAGTTGTATTGGAAACCATGTGAAAATGAGAGAATGTCATTAAATGCAGGTACTAAAAAAGTGATTATTAACATGAATAAGATATTTTTCTTCCCTTTTACATGGGACTAAAAACGTGTTTAATAATAATATTAAAAATAATTATTTGCAAAATACTTGGCAGTTAATGCATCTTTCATAAATATTTATAAGGATACTATAAAAGGTATTAATTTAAACATGTTTTAATTTTATAATATCATAAACATTTAATATAAATAATAGGTACATTATATATTAAGCATGTCATATGTTAAATAATTTACTGTTAAATAGATAATATATTATACATTAAACATATTTCAGTATCTTGTCCAGGACTAATTGGCTAAATGGTAGGGCTGGGACTTAAACTCAGATTCCATAATTCCAAATGCAGTGCTCTTTCCATCACATCAGGAAACCCTTTCCTGGATCTTTATGCTACACTGAGTTCCTTCATTCTCATTGCTGCTCAGACTAAAATCAAATTAATAGAGTGTTCAGATGACCATTATAACAGACTGACTTAATGTAATGTGTACCTTTTACAGGGAACAGTTACCTATATGAAGATGAGTTGGGCTTTGGCCACTTTTTTCTAGGCCAATCAATGGGCTTTGCCAACTCAGCTCAAATGTGAGAGGGAGGTGGAGAGAAGGAGATGAAACAGGAGAGGGAGAGAATCAGATTTAGAGCTGGAAAGGATCACAAAGAGAATCTACTCCCTCAATTTTAGAACTGGAAGTGACTTCCCTAAAACCCACTGAGGGAAATGGCAGGGCTGGAACCAATTCCCGCCTTCTCCTCTAAGCAAGTGTAATTGTAGCCCTGACAGAACACACTTTCTTAAAACTGGATTTTTGTCCTCCATTCCTGATAAAAATGAGGTCAGGCTTGAAAAATCCATCTGAGGAAAATATGGTGGCTCTGGATACTGAGGATATAACCATTTCCCTTTTTCCAAATTAATTCATCTAATATTTAGGGATATGAATATCGAATTCCGTATTCAAGAACCTTATGCTTGCTGAGGCAATTCAGTCTCTAAATAATAAAACTATTATGCCCAGGCAGCGTGGTTCAGTGGTTAAACATCGACCTATGAACTGGAAGATCACAGTTTGATTCCCAGTCAGGGCATATGCCAGATTGGGGGCTCCAACCCCAACGTGGGGCATGCAGGAAGCAGCCAACCAATGATTCTCTCTCATCATTGATGTATCTATCCCTCTCCCTCTTCCTTCCTCTCTGAAATCAATAAAAAATATTTTAAAAAACGATTATAAAATAATTTAGTTTCTAGATCAGTGGTTCACAAGCTCTTTGAGGGTCGTAGGAACCTCTATGAGAACCTAATATAAACTATGGATCTATTCCCCAGAAAAATCCATACCTTTTTGTACATATTCAAGAGATTACTGGATCCTCTCAAAGCCCATGAATTAAAGAAAGCTCCATTATAAGAGATTCATTGAGTACCACCACATAAAAATTATCTGAAGAACCAAAATTGAGAGAATCACTAGTTATCCCTTTTCTTTGATGCAGATGAATAAACTTTAAAAATGTGCCATTGTTGGGGGTGGGGGCAGCTGGGGAGAGGTCAATGGGGGAAAAAGTAGACTTATGTAATACTTTAAACAATAAAGAATTTAAATTAAAAGAAAATAAATTAATAATCTAAATTCAGATAGTTTTGTCCCAGTTAAGACATTAAATGTAAGTTTGGGTCAGTTTAGCTCAATCAAGAACACCCATTGGTAAGCTGAGTTCAATCAATCATCCCTGGGTTAGCTGTCCCTTCAGCCTGTCATCTCTGAAAACACTAGTTCCCTGAGGAATTAGGTGGGCCCAAGTAGCCGTATTTGTTGTGTAGTAGTAGTTGAAGTAGTTATAGTAGAACTAGTAGTAGTTATAAAAAAAAGCATTAAAAAAGTTTGCTATAAAACAGTATGCCTTGTTTCGCCGGCAACAGCCTCACACATCTCGTATTTACTGCATCTCTTGATCGTATCATTTCCTCTTGTGCTTATTTTAATCTCTTGTTTTGTACAGTAACATGCTGTACACTCTTGTAGCCTCGATGCAATAGGCTATACCAAATTGCCTATAAAGGCATGCTGTATGTATGTGTATGTATGTGTACATATGTATGTGTACATATGTATAACATAATAATAGATCTGTTGTATCACCATTAAAAAACACCCA